ATTGTGCACCACGAGTTTGCGTTTACACATTTTACTTCTACTGGCAATCCAAAGCATACGACCCATTTCTGTTTTTTTTTGTTTTTTTAAATTGGTGCTAAGTACCTGCTGCAGGTATTTTTCTGTGTAACCCATGAAAATGACCGTATTTAGCCGGTCTTTCTGCATACATTTTTGCTGCCACAATGGCTGTTATTGAATTTCTGAAGCTGTAGAGGTGGATGCAAAATACCGACTGTAAAAAAATACTATAACATAAATATAATTTACATTTCTATCCATCTAGTGCAGAGTAAAGTAATATTGTATATTTCTGGTTCTCCTTTTGTAGTGTTTGTTTTGTCATTGTTATAGAAACAAGTTTTGTTATAGATAGATAGGTAGGTAGATAGATAGATAGATAGATAGATAGATAGATTATTTATTATTATTATTTATTTTTACAAGTTTGCATTACCTTTCTTACTTCATGTGTAATTTTTTCAGCAATCATACTGTCTGTTAATATTACTGCTATTGCTATTATTATCTTTATTTTTGTATTTGTGTCATCATTATAATGATGATTAGAGTAGATCTGATTCCTAACTGAAGGACAGTTAGTTTGCTAAAGCACTGATTATCGTAAACTATTGCCAGTTATATTTAATAAAATACTTGTTTTCATTCTTCCTTGTTAAATCTCAGTGATCTCCTGCATGCACTTTACAGCCACTTTCCGTCTACATGCAAACCAGTGATGATGATTATTATTATTATACAGGATTTATGTAGCGCCAATAGTTTGCACAGCGCTTTACAATATAAGGAAGACATTACAGTCACAATACAATTTAAGACAAGATGGTAAGGATGGCTGCATGGCATTCCTCGGGGTGGGCTTTTATGATAGTGACAACAGTAGACCAAGCTGCATAATGTGTGTGTGCGAAACAACCACTTGTAGTCTTAAACAGTGGTCTGCGTGACAGGGTAGCAACACAGAAGAGCAATTGGCAAGCAGGGTGAAAGTGTTGTCACCACATACCAAGAGCTGCCTGCTCAAGGACTCTTATGGTAGGATCGATAGGTATTCTTTTAATGAAAACTGCAGATTTATCAAATTAAAATGACTTTTTGAAATGATTTTAACTCATTCAAGCTTAGATGTGATTTGGTGCTTGGGTTTACATTTACTTAAACTACCACTGAGTCGCTAACTATATTAATAGACAATTTTCAAAACTTCTCTCCCATTTGTGTTCTAAGCCTCATTGCTTCCTTTATATTTATTATATAATTGTGTCCATATACTACATTTTTGGTTTTGCTAATCACCTTACCAATAAATATTAAATCATAGTATTAAAAATGAGAATATTGCATGGATATATTCTTGGAAAAGCCAGAAAATATTTGCTAAAACCAGTGGGTAAAATACTCACATAAAAATGCTAGCCACAGGCAAGCAGATGTCTCATCAAGAACGACAGTGGGATTTCTCCCTGTGTAATGATTTGGTGCATAGTTTTTTTTAAATTATTATTATTGTCCGGCTTAAAAAAAATACGATTCTCTTGCTGCATTAAATTTTAAATATTGGATATTAATACTTAGCATTTTTTAGACTGCAAGTGGACTTTAGTTTGACATGTCTTCCAGAGATAGCTTAGCCCGCTGTTTCACACACTTACATGCAGAACTGAGTGACTCATTCCTTATCCAATGGCTTTTCCAGATGTTTCAATCAGAGAAAGCCGAGCACAAGGCAAGCTGCTCTGCTGCTGTTCTCTCTCTCTTTAGATAACCCATATTGCTATCAGATTCCTTTGTTTTGTATATAATTATGTATATTATCATATATGCTGGCAATGCATTTTTGTTGAGCGATTTCTTTTGCTTTAGAAGGGCTTCAGTGAATCTTTTAGTAACTTTACAAGTCTGAATACATTCCTTATGTCACACAATGCAGCAAAAAGTTTGATTATTTATTTTAGAACAGCTCTACAATGTATTAAAAAGCAGTCCTCCAGCCCCAATCGAGTGACTTTGATAACATCATCTCAGCCTAGGCAGTCTGCTGCAGGCAGGAGGAGGCATTTCCTCAGGCTTCTTTCTTCCAATGATCAGTCTACAACACTGAAACTTTTGTAGTACGTATCTGGTGCTAGGTCTGCTTCAAGAGATGAAGTGCCTGCAGCGCCAGATGGGTAAATATATCGTTACAGTTTCATCTGTGAGGACATTTCATCTCCTCTGTAGCATGTGCATTGGAAAGTGTTCATTTTGGAGCATTTGCCTTGTTTGAAACCTTTATATATAACCTGCAATTTCCCTTTAAGACAGTGAAACCGAATCTATCACTCACTGTTTATTATGTAGAACACGGAGCAGTAAATTAAAACAAGCCAGCCTTTACAGAATGGATGTTCATGATGTGCAGATTGCATCTATTCATTACTGTAACTCCGATCCCTGCCATGGGCAGCGTTCCCGGTGTCAGCCAATACGCTGGCGTCCGCCTGTCCCTCTGGATGCTGTCGGGTAAGATCTATAAACCCTGTGGCTGTTTAAGGCCAGAGTGTCATTCTCTCTTGACCTTAGCGGGAGGTTTTGGCTGGAAATTGGCCATTCTGAGAATTTATGACTTGGAGCAGAAACGTTAAACTTGTTCGAGTTGCATGTTCTTCCTTTTTTTGCTTTTTTTTCTTGTTGCTTCATGAACGTTCCTTAAAGTATAAGAAACCTAAACTTCTAATAACTTTCAGAAATATGTGTGCCAGTGTACTCATTACAGCATTGAAAAGCAGATATTTGATATTTATATAACTTTGCTGTGAAAAGTTTCATTTTTTGTTAGCTGCAGTTTTAAAGTAGTATTAAACTCTCAAACTTTTTAAAATAATGAATCCAGATCAAGCAAATATACATTGTCCAGCAAAGCATTGCTTTACATTTTTGCCCAAACACTTACAGTCATCATGTTTCCAGACAGCTAAAACTCTCTCAGCATTGCTTCCCCGAACGTCCTGTCCAGTACAAGATCACAGGGATAGAGCAGTCTTGAGCAGCCATCCATCTACTAGCTTGGAAAATGGATAAAGTATGAGAGGGAGCAGGGAGGAAGGGCAGTGGCTTGTGTTGTGGAATGTTTGTGGAAAAGCAAACATTTCCCAGCACACTCGCCAGCCTGCAAAAAACAATCACTGTCTAACTATTCAGGTTAAAAAGAGAGGTTTTAATTGCACAACTTTAGCAAAATATGTGGAAGCAGCTCTACCTCGTCAAGGCCCCCTTTTTTTTCTGGCTGGATTTTTGCTAATTTTTGCTTTTGTACTATGTAAAACCCTTCCTTGTGCACCTTGCTTTGAAGCTGGTTATGATTTGATGAGTGCCTTTGCCATTTGTTTCACTTGTGTGTTTGTGGAGACACACACAGCTTAGCTCCATAAGACCCTGCACGGGAAAGAAGCCACCCTAAAGCCAGGACCAGTGTTCAGGAGACCAGCCGATTCTGCAGGAAACTAAAACTTTGGAACATCAAGTAGCAGCATCCATTGTTAATTATTTAATCAGAATTTGAAATCGCTTAAAAATCTTTTTGAGTTTAATATCACTTTATGCTTTGAAAACCTAAAGGGGGATTTTGAAGTCACTGGAAGGAACTGTGGTTGTATGGTTGTATGCCAGTTCAGAAGTAGATGAAATGCCCATTTTATGATATTTGTCTGTATGGAAAATACATTGAAAAACAAAAACCATTGTATTTAGTGTTCTATAGTTTCACATTATTTAAAGGCCTATTGTAGCTTTCAATATTTTGTTCTGGTAACTGTGTGTGACAGGGGTGCTTCCAATGATCTCATTTTATTTATATGGTTTAAACTTTTTTTTTTTTTACTAAAGAAAAAATTAACTGTAACTGTGTCCCTTAAAAGCATGAGCTGGAGTTTGACTTTATGTATTTAAGTTCAGCGTCCAGAAAGTTAAAGTGCACCCGCCAGTAACTTTATGTATCTGCAAGAATACATTCCTGACATGTCACAATATACAGCAATAGTTTTTATCATTTTGTGTAAAGTTTAATATTAAAGAGCCTTCCTTGAGCTCCAGTCTCTTGAATTTGCTTAGTCTGAGATGATGCCATCTGTCTGCTGCAGGCAAGAGGAAGTATTTCCTTAGTCTTCACTCTCTAGTGAGCAGACTGCAACATTGCAACTTTGCAGCAGGTCACAAGGCTACAAGGTGTTGATCTGCGTTACACGATTGTGAACACAGCCGAGAACTGCAAAGATGCCAGGAATGATATGTTTGTGTCTTCTCTAAACCAATGTCTCCATTCAGGAAGCGATTGCTAAGCCTGGATGATACTTAAGCAAAGATGGATCCATCCTGCCAATGAAAAAAAAAATAAAAATGAAAATATGGTCAAGGGTAGTACTATGATCTCTATGAGAAGTAATAAATACCAATACTTGGCATGAATGTACCTAACATAAAAAAATATATCTGATGACAGGTCAACTTTAATAACAAAGAGTACCTGGCATTAGGTGTTTCGTGGTAACTGCATGTAGAAGTAGATGCTGACCCTTTATGATAACTGAACAAAGATGCTTCTGATGAGAAAGCTTTGTCAGGGGTAGTATTGTGATCTCTGTGAAAACTAATAAAGACCTGTACTTGTTGCACTTACACCATACTTTATGTGCATTCACCGAATATGAAAAAATATCTTGAGCTGGGTCCACTTGAAATCAACTGACAGTTTGTAATATGTCCTGGCGACTCTGTTGGTAAATTAGTTGCGCTTGAGTTTCTGGGTCTGCTGTCACTATTATGAGGAGTTCCGACTTTCCCTGCTGGATGTTTATTTTTTTTCTTATGGAAAATGGAGCAGGAGGAGCTGGAACACATAATGGTGGACAGGAACAGAGTCGGGAGATCTGTCTGTGGCCGGCTTGGTATACAAAGTCTTTATTCTGATGTCTTTGATGGCTTCTACTTTTTATGTTTTGCAGCATCACTAATGAAGCTGGTGCATCCATCTACAGCGTAAGTCCAGAAGCCACCAAGGAGATGCCAGACCTAGATCCGAATCTGCGGAGTGCAGGTATGGTTTCTTACTCTACTAGAACTTGTCCTCCATTATGTAAATCTCTTGCATTTGTTACTGAGAAAGTGTCCTTGGGGATTAGGGGGAAGGCTGGTAAGATTGGGAGAAAACACAACCAACTGGTCTTTTCATTGAAGGGACATTTTGCTGCAGGATAAAAAAAAAGTATAACACTTAAACCTGGACCTGGAGTTTAGGTGTATTTGTATGTCTGGACAAAAAAAGTGCAGTACATCTTTGCAATACATGCACATGCCACCTTGTTTTTTCCCTTTCAAAAACTGAAAATACCAGTTCATCTGGAAGAAATTTGGTGGCATCCTAATTCCCTGTAGTGAGTGGACAAGACTGCCCTTGCTGCACTGAAATCCCAACCAGTGTTGTCAGCCTTGCCTGAGTTCTCCTCTGCTGGACTACAGAATTGCACTTACTCCCCCCCAGCCCTGTCTTACCCCTTATCTACACATTGATAGCATAGAAAAACATGCTTTTTCTTTGTATCCTGAGAGCCTGCTCACACACTGTGTAGGGAAAAGGCTCTTGAGAGATGTAGGTGTGTGCTTACATCAGTAGGCAGTGAACTTCCAGCTAGGATTTTACAAGCCTGGTGATAATGTCACAGTGAGTACTAAAAGCTTCTTCTAGTTTTAGGAACACGTTAAAAGAATAAATGATTCGGGGATATGCTCTAGAGGGGAGTGGGAGTTTTGGGGTTACTTGTGGGTAATCCCTGGACATACCTTTTAAGGGATCTATTGGATACCATCTACAAGAGAAAACATCTCTCTGCATGGTAGAAGAGATTGTGGCACTTTGAAGACAATTAAATGTCTCCAACCCACTCCTCCCCTATCACCATTAGTAACACATTTCTCCATCACCCTGGCCCTTAATTGCCGAATTCAACCCCAAATAAAACACTTAAGACAGAAGGTCAACATGAAAGCCAACCAACAAGCAAATAAAAAGGTCAGCAGAAGCAGCTTCCATGTATCGCTCATGAGGTGTTTCCTTTTGAAAGAGGAACAGAGGTACCTCAGTCCACTGCAATTTGCAGCCATTGCCGACCCTCTTCTGAAAATGATAGTTGCCTGATTCTCATGCAGGTGCTTTGCCTTCAACATTTTACAAATCAACGGTTGGGCACATGTACAGAGAGAAGGAATTCCAACACTTTTCTGACACCCATTTACAGCATGCTTGCTTTAAGCCAGTGACTCTGAAGCCAACCAAATTAGCACTTTCAATGGGACAACAGCTATGGCATTCCTTGTATTTTTGTCATGACAGGTGCACTTTAACAGGGGTGTTGAAATAATAATTTAAAAAAAACGACTTGTCCAAAGACTAAAGCAGGGGGCCCAATCTACTTGTTCCTCATGGCAATCTACTTGTCCTGATTAATTTTTTTTTTTTTTAACCAAAATCATATTTAAATAAGTTCTTTATTGATAACAACTTAGAAGACAGACCTAAAAATACTTTACTGCAATCAAAAACACAAGTAGATAGTGAGCTTAAACAGAACATAACCATTACAAAATCATTATATGGCAGTCCTAATGCCCTGTGTGTGAGGACACTATAAGTGTCAGCAGTCCCTGTCTATCAAACTCATCAGTCCGGGATACACACAGCTACACACCGGGACCTATCGGAGCCGCCGAGAAGGAATGCACAGGGTCCTCCGAGGCTGGCCGGCTGAATTGCCGCTCTGAACAGAGTGTGTGCAGGCTCATACAGTGAGGAAGGAGGGGCTGAAGGGGTTAATGTACAGGTCACATCCACTGGGAGGATGAAGGTGAAGGGGTAATGTATAGATGTGCAGGATAAGGGAGGTGAAAGGGTTAATATACAGGTCTAAATGCGGATAAAATAAGCAGGAGAGGAGGGGGGTTACATTTATTTGACATTTTTTTCCCCTGCTGCTGCTGCTACACTTTGTTTCACCTGGAACCAATAAATAGATGTCTCATCCATTCCTGAACTCTCCTTTGCCTCTGATGTAAGAGGAAGGGGAGGGCTTGGCAATGTAAACAATATCATGTGATCACTGTGATAACCGATCACTGTGATAACCAATCACAGCGATCACAAGACAATGAGCCGGTCTCTCTACAGATTGGCTCTGTGTGTGTAAAGCTGCGGCTCTCCACTGTCTAATGACAGCTTAGTATAGCGGCTTCAGCGGCCGTGGCCACGGCTTGCCCGCAGCGGGGCTTAATGTAAAGAAATAACCCACCTGGGGTTTTTACGACTCCACACCTACATGACTCCTGACCGTGCGGCTATCCATTGGGGTGCCGCTTAGGTGTGCACTGGCCCTTAATGTAACAAGTGTTAACACACAACATAAAGACCAGATAGATGTGAATAGCCCATTATCACATATCAATGAGATTGTTCATCAAGCTGTTCTTTTCCAAAAAACATTGATAGACAATACATTTTTATAAAGAAAATGTTAGTCCTTATGATGGAAAGGTTGTCGAGTAGCAATGACATGCAGATGGTTTGTTAGCAGCACGGTGCCTTTACCTTTCTCTTTGCACACAGTGTGTAACAGACACTGCTTATTAGTTATTTATTTTGAGGTGGAAAGTTGCTGAAGCCATTGCCTCCCACTCTGCAGATGAAAGCCTGCAAGCCATTGAGAACACTCATAGGGACATGATCCTGCTGCAGGTAGAGAGGTGTGCTCTGTGTCACACACAATTACACCCGATGATATCAGGCAGTGTAATGGCTTGCGAAGTGTTCTTGGGGAAAGTCAGCCCTTGTGCTGATCACACATATGGACGGGAGTGTTAGAATGTCAGCCTCAGATCATTTGTTAATTTGTTCACCGTTTGTAAAAGAGCACCATTGCCCTTCAGGGCGGTGGAAAGCAGATGTACTTTAGCGTCTGCTACATTTCTTACATGCTTTGAAAGTCAGAAAATTTCATTTTACTCAGGAAGGCATCTGTTGCATCTTAGCTGAAACATTCATGACCTTCTCCCCATTGTGACTCTGCAGCCCCCTGAAAGTTCACGAGCCGAGGGCTGTATGCACTCTGCCTGCCACATCCGCAAATGAAGTGCTTTGTGTCAGTATAACTTTTCAAATCCTCTCCAACTTTTATCAGTTTAAGGCCATCCCTAATATCCAGCCAGGGGTAGGCAACCTTGGCTCTCCAGCTGTGCTGAAACTACAAATCCCATAAGGCATTGCAAGCCACAGGCATGACTCCCAGAGGCAGAAGCATGATGGGATTTGTAGTTTCAGCACAGCTGGAGAGCCAGGGTTGCCTACCCCTGGCCTAGGCTGAGGTGCATTCTAGGGTGGGAGTAGCTAAACATTGGCCCTCCAGCTGTAGAGAAACTACAAATCCCATTATGCATCTGCTGCTGGAAGTCATGTCTATGGCTGTCAGATTTTTGCAATGCCTTATGGGACTCGTAGTTCCAACAGCTAGAGGGCCAAAGATTGGCTACCCCTGTTCTAGAGGAATGATCTAATTGGTCTGCTGCAGACAGGAAAAAACATATCCTCAGTCTCTTCTTCTTCTCCCGGGGATCAGGCTACAACATAGCAAATTTGTAGGAAGTCACAAGGCAAGAGGATGCAACAGGGGCTGATCTGTGTCAGAGCCGAGAACACAGCCGAGAACCTCAGGGGCATCAGAGGTTATATGATCCTGTTATCTCTGAGCCAGCATCTCAGTCCAGTTGACACTGACCCTGGATGATGCCTAAATAAAGATGACTCTGTCCTTCTTGAGAGGAAAAGCAGATGAAGGCATTGTTGGGGGAGCGGGGGAGGGGACTAGGGTTACATTACAGTGAAAAGTAGGGATGCACCGTGCATTTCTTTAAAATTTATAAACCTACAGCAGGTTTATCAATTATAAAACCTATATAACTTTTGAGGCCATCCTGTGCCCACCCCCATCCTGTGCCCAGCCCCAGCAGTGCTGCTAACCTTCTTCTCCGTCGCCTCCGTCTGCTTCATCCCCTCGTGTCACAGCCATAGTCATCTGTCAATGCCGGCCTCTTCTCACGTTGATTGGCCGATTGAATGATTGACAGGCTTCCCCACCAATCACGAGTGAGGACAGAGGAATTGAAGGCGGAGTCTGGTTTCGGCCGTTCGCCCGTGGAGAAGGAGTTCGCGGCCATCTTGCATGAATGCAGACGCTGTGCTGTGTGCGGCGGTGGAAGATGGCGGACACAGGTACTCGTTTTAGACATCAGAGCATTTGCACGAGTATGAGTACCCATGCAAATACTCGGTATCGCGGCCGATACCGATGCTTGTATCGGTATCGGTGCATCCCTAGTGAAAAGTGTGAGTGTCTCCTGCTTTAATTGGATGATCATTCTCAGCATTGTAAAGAGATAACCACTGGTGAGAAAAGCAGTGAGCCAATCGCATTAGCAGGAAACTACATTCTAGGGGAGGTCAGTACATAAATTGAAGTGTGTAAGCTTACTTTTGAAGAATCCCACAGGATTTACTTCCTTTCATACAGTGACACGTATTCACTATGCCCTGTGAATATGCACTGCTGTCTCGCCCATTTCACAGAGCCTGCTGTCTGAACTACAGAGGTGGAGTTTCAGGAGGCACAGTCAATGCAGGCAATGCCCCACATGTGACATCATCACTACTCGCAGGCAGCAATGTAATATGAAATATATAGTCCTTAGAATTGAAAGTAGACCACATGCATGGGATCCAAGAAGGTGTTGAAAGAGTTGGCCAACAGATAGGCACTGCTCACAATCAAAAAAAAAGATTCTTTAAATAGATTTATACTGAAATGTTAAAAATAGCTTTTTTTTAATGTATAATATATATATAGTATACCATTGGGTAATAAAAGTAAAAGATCAAAAACAAAACCTGTATGGCTGAATAAAACTGTAAAGCATCACATAAAGGAAAAGCGAATGGCTTTCATAAAATATAAGATAGAGGGGACGGCATTGGCGTTCCACAACTATAAAGAAAGC